CGGGCGTTGTCTGGTTGAAAAATCTGTGTCTGTTGGTCAATAATCGGGAGAAGGTGAGGCTGTAATACGTGGTTGATGTAACGTTGGGCTGTCAGGTTCCCTTCAACGATCACCAAGTCTGATTTCTGGTTGTATGAGATGGATCCCCAAACCATAACGCTTTCTCCGCCAAATCTGTCCCCCTGTCGGACGCAGATGGGCGCAAAACGTTCATGACGTCTCCTATACACACGTTTTCTTCCGTCGTGACGTTGCAAAAGAAAACGGGATTCATCAGAAAACCAGATGCGCCTCCAGTTTTGTAAAGTCCATATCCTTACGTTGTTGCACCACCTGAGTCGTCGGCGGAGATGTAGGGGGCGTAGTACAGGTCCAACAACTGGTCTACAGGCACGTTAACCCGCTTCTTTCAGACGGTTCCTAATCGTCTGAGCTGACACTCTCCTCAAACCTGGTATTTGTGTGGCAGTGACGGTTGGTAGGGCATGCCGATTACGCAGGTGATGGACCCGGATGTACCGATCTTGAAGGGGGGGGTCGTGATTTTTGGCCTTCCACTTCTCGGGCGATCGTTGGTCAAATTGAAGTTGTTGTAGCGGCTCCAAAGTCGGGATATCGTTGTTTTGTGAACATTTAGGTGCCGTGCAACAGTTCCAAAACTTTCTCCGGCTTGAACACGACCAATGGCGATATTTCGGTCGGCAGCACTCAATCGTGGCATTTTTAACACAGCTTTTCGGCGACAAATGAATGAATATAATACGAAAGCACATGGGCTTTTATACACCCCTACATTAACTGCCATTTTCATGATTTGCATGTGTTTTTTTTGTGCGAAGTCACCATGAGGGTCATTTCATGCGTTGTGACGGAATAAGCAATAAAATACACTTATGCGTACAAATGCAGTTGTTTGGATGGTAATCTTCATTAATTACGTGTATCATTTCAATACATTCGAATAAAATTTAGTTTGGAAGCAATAACTTCATTCAAACGAATTTTTCATATCTGAGGACAGGGGTTGCGTTTCTTTTTTGACAGAGTTTATGATTGATACCACAGAAATATTTATATGATGGACTTGCATTGCAGCTGGTACGAATATTTAACGAAATACCGCATATGAGTAGAAACGTAATTCCGAAATAAGGTTCATTTCAATGGTGGGAAAAAAACGTAGATTCTTCAAGGTGATAAGAATCGGTCTCATATGTCACAAGAACATACTAATATCGTCTTGAGAAATACATTGAGAAATACAATCACAAAGGCTATAGCCAAGTCGATTCCATCAACCATATAATTCATTGTTTTGTTGAAGCTGGCAACACATATATACTACACAGCCTTGAAGATATACAAAACATATTTATCAATGCATGACAAGAACTAATATCGGCAGGTAACTCTGCCTTCAGCGGGCATTCTCAACGCGGTCGATGTAAATATAAAAAATCCCACAACGATAGAATTACAATATTGGATGATATGGCATTATTATGTTCAGTTACACTCGCTGGTTCACAGAGACAGAGTGCGTTCTTAACAAAAGTCTATACATATAACCTATCACGTTACGTGAAATGAGATGTATAAATACCTCAATGAGCTCTTTCAGCATTCTCTCGATTCATGTAGACATGGAGAAGATATTGCTCTGCGTGCTCCTCGCCACAGAATCGGCGTTTGCGTTTGAAGGACGTAGATTTTCCGCCAACTTCAAGTTGCCATCTTCATCGAGACTGACCAATATGCTTCCCAGAAGAGGGGGCCTCATTCAAGGTAATATATCACTGACGTTCTCGTTACAATCAAAAGAGAATATTTATAACTCGCCTTTTCCAGGCTAGATATCCTGCTAAAAGCACACAGTCTTATCATTATTACCCCGGATAACCCAAGCTGCCTGTGAGGCGCTAGAAGGTTAATAGTCTCACGACTTATTTCACCGGGTACCCAGTTTCTGCTGGATGAACAAATTCGCTTGCCTAAGTGAGTGAGTTAAGATTTAACGTCACATTGGCAATATCTCAGCCATATCGTGACGAGAACAATGTTATTCATATCAATATAAAAAAACAATAAAATGAAGGGCAGTAAAACTACTAGAATCTCACAGCTCTTAATTTAAAACTAGTACGCTATCATAAATAGATATCACTATAGACAACAATACAATATAAAACCGGGCTATAGATCACCCGCAACTGAGGCTGATCACCATACTAGGGACCATGGGGACTTACAGTACCTTTGCTACCTGCATGGACTCTAGCAGGATTTACACCTCTTCAGCACTTGGAGATTGTGGAAAAATCAGTCAAAATTAAAATCACATAAATACTACGTTCTAAAAAGGTTGGTAAGTTTAAATGTTCTTTGAAAGCCTTTGGACTTACTTACCCTCCCAGGAGGACAACAATGTTACAGTACTTTCACACACACACACACACACACACACACACACACACACACACGGTTCCAGATTAAACGATTATTAACAATACGTTCCCTTGTCTTACAAACACAGCTAGTTAATGATATCGGTCTGTATATAATTAGATGGATCAGTAAGATCCCGGCCAGGTTTGGAATAGGAATGATAATGGCATTTCGCCAGGATGATGGGAAATTCCCAGAAGTCCAGATATTGTCAAATATATTCAATAATGTTTCTAAACATGATTCAGGTAGATGTTTAAGGGGCTGATAATATATATTATCGGGCCCAGAAGCAGTATCATGAGCTTGCCCAAGAGCAGTATGAAGCTCATGAATGGAAAAGATTTCATTATAATCCTCCCCATTGTCTGAAGTAAAATTTAGTTTCATTTTTTTCTTTCTGATCTTTACATTTCTGAATAATTGGTACATAATTCGATGAAGAGGAACTTTTCACTAACGTTAATTAGCAATATCAGATTTATCTGTTAGAAGAGTGTCACCATCCTTAAGATGACGCACACAACGACCCTTTGCCTTTTATCTTCCTTACCACATTCCATACCTTAGAAATAGGTGTTCGTGAGTTAAGTTAAGAAATATAGTTTTGCCAAGACTGTCGCTTATTTTGTTTAAAAGTGCCATGAGCCTTGGCATTTGAAATTTTAAAATGATTTAACTTATGGACTGTTGGGTGTCGACGGAAATACTTTTCCGCCTTCTTCCTAGCCTTCCTTTAATAGGATCAGAAACATTCAGAAATAATTCAGGTTTTAATATGTTATTGCATAAGGTCTCGAATAAAGACCAATCGTCCTTTTTAAAATTCCACCCTGACGAGGGTGGGGCATCACTGGAGTTTATGGCTGAAAGAATAGTGGGAAAATGGTCACTTCCACAAGGGTCATCATGGACTGACCATTCAAATTCGTTATGTAAATTGGGGTCCACAACAGATAGATCCAGAGAGGAGTATGAACCAGTTTCAGAATGAAGATATGTATCAGAGCCATCATTGAAACTGCATTGATAATTATTAGAGAAGAAATCCTCGAGTATCTTTCCCTTAGCATTGGTGGTGTTACTACCCCAAAGTGGGTTATGACCATTTAAATCTCCCATTATAATGCAAGGTTTTGAAGCTGATCAAAAACATCTGATACATTGCTGTAAAGAGGAGGATGGTGGTATATAAAGTGAACAGAGAGTAAGTACAACATGTAGTATCACGTGGACAGCAACGGCCTGAAGAGGGATATTCAGTGAAATAGAGCTATGTATCGTGCCCCGACTCACCAGAATAGAAGATCCCCAGTGGCCTTATCACCAGCTGGAGAAAAACGATGGTAGGAATCATAATTCCTCAAATCAAATTTATCTGTGGATTTCAGGTATGTTTCCTGTAAACATAGTTCTGATGGTCTGAAATCCTGGATTAAAAGCTGTAATTATTATAACTGTTCCTGAGACCTCTACAGTTCCACTTTTGAATATGTGAAGACATTACCTTTTAGGAGGATTAATTGGCGATCTGCCCCGCCCTTTCCTGGAGGGCGACAGGCTATGTGTTCTCTGACTACTGATGTCAACCACATCCATATCTTCAAGTGAACCGTATTTGTTGAATTACTGGATCTTGTTATCAGATCCTTTAGATCTCCTGCCACTTTGGGGCTTTTGGGACGATTCCGGGATTAGTTTGGTTTTGTTTTTTACCACTTGTTTTACATGACTGAGATGATGATAGATCGTGGGGAGTTGTTTGTGAACTGCTCGATTCCACAACAGTAACTGTTGCTGCATTGTTAGAGAGTGAAATTAGTTTAGGAGCTTCGGTTTCAGTCCATGTATAATCGGCCTGACAACCAATGCACATGCACATGGAACATGGTGCTGAACAGACTGTGAAATTGTTCGAGTAACGGCTGCAGAATAGGAACTGTGTATGGATTGTTCTTCTCGAACTTGGGAGGTCTTGGGTCTGGTTGCTGGTAGTGGTTCATCAATTTGCTGATGGTGGCCTGGCTGAAGCAGAAAGTTCTTGCCAGCTGATGGTGGCCTGGCTGCAGTTGAAGGTGTGGCCATACGATCGCAGAGATCGTGGTGTTTGAAGTTACCATAATTCCTTCCTTATGCTGGACCATGCTACAATATGATAACTTGCGATTCAGGATCAACAGGTACCTCTTGCTAACAATGCAAGTTCGTTTTAAAAAAAGGAGATACCTGAAACAATCAACAGAAATAGGTCAACAGGTATTTTAATAATTGATATGTCAGAAAGATTAAGATTTCTTTCAGAATTTGCATCCAAGCTACGTAAACATCTAAAATGTTGTTATGTTTAAAAAAATTTAGTTCTTGTTTTCAATTTTCTTTCCCATCATATATATCATGTATGTATGTATATACGTATGATTTATATCAGGCTTAACCGTTGCTGTAGCATAGGTTTAATAGCATATTTTATCTAAGACCAATTATAATTCTGAATTCCTAGGGACGTACTTCTCAGGATTCTTCTTGTTTCAGTGCATCGCAAATTCTCTTTTCAGAAAACACAGACAACCGCGTTAATGAACTCGAGAACAAAGTTGGTAAGTACTTGTACACTTTTCTCAAATAACATTATGTTCGTCCCCTCACCGTTAAATCCCAATGGACGTCATGGTGGAATGGCATCTCAGTAGGCTGGCACTAAAGCAATATCGACGTTGTAGGCGATATCACAAGGTGTCATTATTATACTGACAGTGTATAAAATAAGGCCCGTCCGACGGTCCGAGACGGTCTAGATTTCTGACGGACGGTCTAAATTTACAGCTAGCCAGCCCGATGGTCTGGTAAAATGTTTAGATGTTCCAGAAGTCTGAGTAAATTCACCATATTTGGTTTGGTTAAATCCATTTTGGGCTGGTAACATTTTGAAGTTACCAGCCCTGATATCTGACAGGAGTTTTTGCTTATTTCATACACTGATACTGTTACCTTCCTTGCACAAAGTTTACCACTTGATCTTGAACGGCGTCGACGTCCTTCAGTTTGCCGTTAACAACGTAGTATCTCGAATCAGTTGTAATGCCAGCCCATACCACTACTCTCACCCTCTAATTCCATATTGAGATTTGCACCATACAGTAAGGTGTTTTTACTTTTATAATTCACATGCATAACAGATGCCACCGGTAGGGTACATGGTACATTCTCCTGTATGTGAATACATGATATCATACTGTTATTTGATGGTGATTCATGAAGACATGTAAAAGAACCGAAGAATGGGATCCAAAGATTAATTAATGCATTATGCCTATTCTATTTATGAAACTTCCGTATTTATGCTGCCATAAATCCGGAATATATCTTTATACTGTGTTTTAGGTTAGGTGAGGTGAAATTGGGTTTAACGTCGTGCTTGAGAATATTTCGCTCATATGACGACGTGCATGCGGCTGCTTGTACTAGCCAAGACTTAAGCTGGTTTTATGGTGCTAGCCCACTAAGATACCATGCCGCAGTGAAGCATGAATACCCCACTCAGACACATTATACTGGCTCCGAGCCGACCTGTCCTTGTTGTTCCCATTAATGCCGAGCGCCAGGCAGGGACCAACAAGTACCATATTTTAACGTCTTTTTTGGTATGACGCGGTCGGGGATCGAACCCGCGACCTTTCGCTCTCCGGGCGGACGCTCTAACCACTACACCACGGAGGTGGTCTGTGCTTTAGGAGCATAATTGAGTCCATAGATCTTTTTATGTTGCAGAGAAGCTGTTAGATGACCACAGAAGCAAAGATATTCGTCACAGGGCCATGGAGGCAGCCTTAGGTAATTCATCTTTAAAAAGTGGTTTACATTCTTGCCTATATATCTTATTACTATTAGTCTATTAAACACGTACATCCCGCGGAATCAGGGTGGGTTGTGTTTCCAGCCCGTGTGGTTGGGTTGAGGCCCGGTAGAAACATGGAGCAAAGTCATATTGACTAAACTAGAACAAAAATATACACAAGGAAAGAAGTAACGCAACGCCATATAAACACGTTAGAAACTATATCAGAGGAAATCATGCAAACCTCAGTTAAACGTACTATCTTGACAAACTAACCCCAAAGGTGAAGTTGCTTCTGCCTTTGGACATAAGAAACCGCTGACGTGCACGAGGTGGTTTAGCATTGTCGTCAGCAAATTTCAGCAATATCACAGACACCAGAAATGGGCTTCACACATTGTACCCATGTGGTGAATCGAACCCGAGACTTCAGCGTGACTAGCGAACGCTTTAACCACTAGGCTACCACACCGCCCCTACTTTGTAGTGATGTTTATCGCAAGGATCATAGATATTTGTTAACAGACCCACTCAGTTTTGGTCAGCTCTAACATCTGGAAATGTTTGCTTTCAATACATGGGTGCTTGTATACACATTCAGGGGGCGTTGGGTAGACTAGTGGTGTGACTCAGGCTCGATTCTCCACATGGGTATAATGTGTGAAGCCCATTTCAGATATCCCCGGCCGTTATATTACTGGAATATTGCTAAAAGCGGCGTAAACCCATACTCGCTCCACATTCCGACACGCCCGTGACACACAGACATATGCACACACACGTGGCACAGGCAGACACACCTGCTCTCACCTGTGGATACTTTCGTCCTTGTGGTGTCTGGTATGTGTGTGAGAGGACAGAGGCCATGTTGAGCAATCGAGTGAGTGGGTGTGTGAGTTAACTTTTACGCCGCACTCATCAATATTCCACAGATATGTAAATAATAGAGTCTGGACCAGACAATCCAGTGATCAACAGCAATTGGGAACCGATCACATGTTCAACCAAGTCAGCGAGCCTTACCACACGATCCCGTTAGTCGCCACTTACGACAAGCACGGGTTACTGAAGATCAATATTCTAACCCGGATCTTCACGAGTCCTAATGATTATTAAAAGACCCAAATACATTCCGATATAAAACAGGTATGTGTATATGTGTGTTGATGCTAGTGAAGACATCATGGTGATTGCTGAAGATCAATATGCTAACCCGGACCTTCACGGGTATTGAGCATCCGAAGACAAAGTAAACTTGAACGTCAAAACAAAGATGTTCATGTTCTGAGCTAGAGACGTTTGGAATCGTTTGTCGATATTAGATGCTACGAGACATGGATCCGGGGATTTATTACTCGCCCGTGGAAAATACTGCAGTGTAATATTTTTACGGCAATATTACGCTAGTGTAATACCGCTAGACGTATGACGTCATAGTGGTTTACAGTTACAATTTTAATACCTCTGTCATAATGGTATTATACCTTGCTTGACTCGCGGAAAACTGAGAGTCATCACACCGTAGGCAGTTTCTATCAATATATATTGGAGAGCAATAAACAGATTACTAAACTTGGTTCCGTGGAATACCATTTTGTTATATTCGTGAAAGATTTAGTATCAAACTTGCTTTCGCTCGTTTGATAAAAAATCATCAACTCGTTTAATAAAAATGGTATTACACGGAAGATCGGTTAGTATCCTCTATATATTGCATGTTTCCATGGACTATCCTCTATCCTCTTGTGTGAGTGGCCAGTTCATGAATATCACAATACCTGAGATACATTGGCTTGTATTCTACCTTTTGAATGTGCATTTGAAGCATTTTAAGATATTTTTGAATTTTGTGTGCTGTTTTTATTGAAAACAGGAAGTTAAAGTGATGTAAAATTGAATATCAACAGCAACCGGTCTCACGTTGCTCTCCAATCGATCATCATAACAGATCCTTGTTGTCAAATACAGACTGTACCTTCTTAGTGTATTTATGTATGTTCACATTACAGCCAACCTGGTATTGGAGTCGACTGTAGATTGTGGTCCTCCACCTCCTGCAGATGGCGCAGACGTTGTCTTCACTTCAACAGGTCTTAATGCCATGGCCAGCTACAAATGCAAGGAGGGTTTCTTCAACATCCTCCCTGGTAAACAGATGATCAGCTTTTGTCAGAATGATGGACAGTGGAGCATGGTCAGCGTGAAGTGTGCCGACAGTAAGGATGCAACCTGGTTCAATGTCAAAATAGAAATTTCTGAGCTTCTGTTAAAATTATATATACCACTCATCACAAATTTAGACTCACTAGTGTAAATGTAGCCACTTACTTCACTCAACTGTTCTGAACTAAATTTTGCAAAATATCCCATACTTTTTAAAGGTACTGTTAACACATGAACTGATGTATTGGAAAACAAATTCGTAACGTTGAAAAGGTCATTGTCATGAGTTTAATATATGATGAAACTCAGTGCAAATTGGTGAATTCTTAACAAAACTTTACACCAAAACGCATCAGTTCACATTTACGATATTTGTACATGCTTTTCAGCAATTTGATACATGATCCTCGTGCAGTTCATCTCCATAAGGTTTGCAGTTGGTTTCTCCAAGTTAGTGGAGAAATTCATCTTCGATGTAACCATATGTATATAGATAACATACAGTGAGTGCTTCAAGTCTAAACTTTTGATGGGTTGTATATATAAGACATGATTCTCCTCTGCCCAGTTTCCTTAAATAAGGCAATCACTAAGTTCGATATGTCATATTGACGTGTGTGATAATGATAATAACATGCCTCTTTAAAGTCCCTATGGATCGTGGTGGTGAAGTGTAACACATTAATCCAGTCAAAGTTTCATGAAGACTAACAACTAGTCTCTGAAATAAACATATTTTACAAACAAAAAACAAAAAAACAAAACAAACAAAACAGTTTATAAAAAAAAAATATGAAAAGGAGTCCTTAGACTTTCTTCATTTTCAGAAACTGTGGAGATCTAGACTTGCCAAATATTCAAGACTTGCATGGGTTTTCTTGGATAATAATAGATTCAGCGTCTGTATGAGAGACTAAGTTTGATGTGATGTAACCTCTTATTGCTACGTTGAGTGAAACAAGATCTCATATTTATCAAGATTACTTTCATTTACAATAAATAACACCCAACACAGTGAGTGGATGAATTTGGCTTTAAGGCCACTTAAAACAGTATTCCAGATATAGCGGGAAAGGTGAGTTCACTAAAGTGATACAGGTCTCACATACTTACCACTTTGGTGCATGCGTATGGTGCCCACAAATATAAAAACTTAATCATGGCGAATTGGGATTCGAAACCACGACCATTGGCAGATATGGATAACCGAGGAGTAGGTAATCTTAACAAACCCTCGTAAGCCTAAGATCTCGTAACTTTCTTCGTAGCGTTCCTACCTCCTAAACTGTATCACAGTCTTACGATAGTCGTAGCGCTACCATAGCTTTGTGAAACGGGGCCTAGGTAACATTGTTTGAAATGGGTACTTGGTATCATTGCAGCTATTGTGTGTTAGACCAGTGTTAAACCACAGCAGATAAGAAACGGTTTTGAAATATATTTTCTCGAAACATATTTCGTAAGAATATTGTCCTCAGTAATGTCGGTGTAGGCTACACGTCTGAGCTTGTTTGTGTATACTTTACACACTGTCCTCTGTATCTGTATGAGACGTTGTTCGCACGAGCGCATGGATACGTTTAGTACAATACATCCTCGTAAGTGTCAGAGAGTAAATCATTTCAAAAAGTTTCTGTAAAACTTCATATCTTCAAACAACATAATTGCTTCAATATATATCCAAAATGCACTGAAATTCTATCCCTTTGTCTGTTTAATGTATTCAGCAATCATTTGGTGTAGCCCTCTTATCATAAATACCAAATGTAAACCAAAAGTCACTGCGTTCTTTAATCTGATTGGTTGAAAAACCTGATGAAATGGTATTCGATTCCCGGAAATTCGCTGCGTATTAATACTTACAAACATCTCTCACACCATTGTTTTGTTACGTCGTCAGCTGTGATGACGTTATTAAAATCATATCGTGATGTAAAGTCCGAATGACGTCACAAATGAGCAGTTCCAGATGCTACCATGGGAAACGGCCAGCTGATCATATTTCACTGCTCTACCCGTACTCGATGTCAATGAGTGCAGACAGAAAAACGTGTGTTGACCATTTGGTTTACTTTTGTGTTTACAATGTCGATAAACATCATGTGTTGGCCAATTTCCGGGTGTTATTGAGTATTTGAAGCACGGGAATATTTCATTTGAAACCTCCAGCTGACGCTTCCAATACTCATTAACACCCGGAAAAATGGCCAACACATGATGTTTATCACCTAAATGGTTTACTCTATAACAATAGGATGGGGAAGGTGTATAACGTGGCGCGCCTAGCTGCTTAAATAATCCCCATGGAGTTGAGATTGATAATAGGACGTGCCGTTGAGATTGACATCCAATGATCGAGGGAAAACAAAGCGGTTTGAGCACGCATGTAGATGGGTGGACTATACCGCGATATACATACCCATATGTATAATACAATGTTGGGGAAACACAAAACGCATGTGGAAGCGTGGCGACCAAACACACTGACATAAAATTAAGGTGCAACATCAATTATTGGGCTATGAAAACGATGTGTTTTCACTTAAATTGTCTGTCATCACAACAGTACAAGAAGTGAAAGTGAAAAAATGCCACAACTGATAGAAGCCCAACGCATCAACGCCATCGGCCGACTGCAGACAGGAGTGACAGTGCACAGTTTATCATTACATTCTTCATATTTGTATATTTTTCTGTATGTATGTATTTTGTATTATATTTGCCACAAATTTCACTTTCATTTTGAAGAGTTGTAATATTGAAACTTCACTTCATGACATGGCCGCAGTTGATGTATAGCACTTCGCAAAGATAATTAACATAAGCCATATACCATTGAAAGTGTCAACTTAAAACTCAATCCGTTGTTTATTGTACTTGTAAATTTCGTAATGACCACAGTGCCGACGTCCAGGCCACAACTGTATAAACAAACTGCAATAAATTTGATCTAATTGACGCCAATTACAATTGTGACACGGTCATGTGACGTCACCTATAAAAACTAATCCAGTCAAGGGTTGTAAAACAACCCGTAATTAAGCTGATGCAATTATGCTGTCACGGTCACGTGACTAACCCTCCAATCAGTAACTGCTTGTCCAAAACTGTTTGATCTATGTCAACCAACCAAAATCGTAATTACCGTATTATATGTTTTGGCCAATCGCAAAGAATTCCAACATTGATCAGTGATGTTTTCGGCTACAAAAAGAGGTCAGTGATTTCCGATCGGCACACTTGACCTCACAATAAATGTTGAAACATCTCACTGACTGATCATTGACTTAAGGAATTCTACATTCTATTTTAAGATTTGAAACTTGTTATCCCATAACAAGCCGGGTAACAAATGGTTGGAAAAGGGTTTCCCTAAAACCTCTCACATGCCAAAACAGAAAGGAACAACGCCAGCCTTCAATGCCTACGGACTCCGGAGAAGCTCCCAAATAGAACAAGGTCAAGTCAGGCCCAGTACTCCCCCACCAGCTGTTCCACAACCTCCACGCAGAGAGCCAACGGCAATCATCAGACCCACAACTCCCCCGCCAGCTGTTCCACAAGTTTCACCCACAATGGCCATTGAGATCACACGCCTGGGAGTTGACATATTTGATGGTGAGGACAACGTCAACCTGTTTATTGACCGCCTGAAACATGCTTTCCAGCTACACAAACTTAATGAAGAACAACAAAGATAATACCTGCCTATGTTCTTGGAAGGCAAAGCCAAAATGTTCTTCAACTCACAAGCTCTTCCAGTGGACACACCAATAGAAGACCAGTTGGAGTGTCTGAGAGAAACGTTTGGACCTGCAACCTTTGATACTGCTCTGTACTCTGTAGCCCAAATGGAGTCAGAGAGGGTTCAAGTCTATATGGATAGATTCCAGTCCATCGCAGCATGGTAAGACATTCCCGATCCAATCAAGGTCAAGATTGCTCTGAAAGGACTTAAATCAACCATACAGCAAACTGTGGGCAATCGTGAGCCCAAAACTCTAATGGACATTCGTAGGTTTGGTCAACTAGCTTAAGACCTCAATTTTTGGTTATTATGGCATGAGCGTTATGATGAGAGCCATGCTCGAAACTGCATGCAGGAAGTGTACATTTTTTTATTGTGGGAGTGTTATGGTGTGGGTCACTATCTCCCATGCCAGAGGACCAGACTTGGTACACATTCAGGGCAATATGACGGCATAAGGTTCCACAAATGAAAGTCGTTGGCCACACGCCGTTTTCATTGTGCATCAATCAAACATCAATTTCCAGCATGACAACGCCCGACCTAACACGGCAAGAGTTACAACGGGCTCTTTGAGGAACTTTGATCAACATATGCGATCAACTCGGCAACACCAACACAGCCTCCAATTGTAGGCTCAAGCACTGCAGGAAGAGTGGGTAAATATTCCCCAGGCCACAATTCGTAATCGACGATCCCAGGCATATCTGGACTCTCATGGGGGTTAAACAAGATAACCTTTGCCTTCAAATTCGATTGTCTTATGTCTGCCATGCTATTATCTTTGTCAGTGACAAAGACTTGTGTCAAATTTGAACAGTTACTTTGACATGATGGTTATTTAGATTATACATAAAGTATACATCTGAAAACCGACTTCACGTCTAGTTTTTTAGGGTATATTTATGTTTATATGTGAGCTCATATACGTGTTTTTTGTTCACGCTTTCCATGGGATCTTGTGCATCTAATCCCGATTTCTGATTATTTTTATCTGAGAAGAGGCTTAACCGTTGCTGTTAAGTTGCTTCTCTTTATTGCAAGCTTATGTCATGTGAAACCGATCATAATCCTGAATTCCCGGGGGAAGTACTCGTAATTGTCAGGAGTTTCTTGCATTACCACATCGCGTATCTATTTTCAGAAAGCAAAGACAAGCGTGTTAATGACCTCGAGAACAAAGTCGGTAAGTACTTGCAAACATTCCTCAAATAGCAGTATGTGATTTGCTCATACTTCATACCTCGGCACTGTGGTATAGTGGATAGAATGGAAGGTCCGTCCCCTGGTCATTTCATCCCAATGGACTTTAAGGTCGAATGGCATCAGTCTGGCAGTTAAACAATACCGACTACGCACGGATTATTTTAAGAAGCCATTACTCTGCTGTTCCTGCAATTGCAGTTTAGAACATGACCTTCAACGATGTCGTCCCAGCCGGTGGCGTTGCTCGTTCAGGTTGCCACTAACAATGATGAGTTTTGTTCTCAAGTCAGTTGTGATCCCTCCCAGTAGCACTGTTACGCTCACGTTCCAATTCCATATTGCGATTTGCACCACACGGTAAGGGGTTTTTAGGTGAATGATTGACTTGCAATTGAATATGTTCATAACGGATGCCACCGGTAGTGCATGGTACATTCTCCTTTGTGTGTGTATATACTATCATTGTTTTATCAAATTTGAAAGTGATTCATAGAAACATGCACTGATATAGTCAGAATCGAAGAACGGTCTGAACTTCCAAAGATTAAAAGGATGCATTTTTCCTAGTTTATTTATAAATAAATTCCAGAGTCCATAGATTTGTGTTCATTTTCTTTTTGCAGACAAGCTGTTGAATGACAAGAAAAACAAAGATATTCGTATCAGGGACATAGAGACGGCTCTAGGTAATGCATCTTTGTATGATGCCCTGGGAGTTGAGATTGATAATAAATTGTGCCGTTTGAGACTGACATCCAATGATCGAGGGAAAGACAGAGCGCCTTAGAGCAGGTGATCAGGATATTGGATATTGGCACAAAATCAATCAATCAATCAATCATTTAGTTAGTTACTGCTGGCCTCTTGAACTCTTACATCCCGCGAGGTCAGGGTTAACCTCAGTTGAACTTACTATCTGGACACACGAACTCTTCAAGACTTTTCAAATGGCATATCTTAAAGCGAAAGGTAAAGAAACCATGTAATATATTCATAGGAGCAAACGTGGCGAAAGATAAATTTATAATATTCTGGCAGACAATCCTCAACAAATCACATAAGTATCAATGCCGAGCACAATACCTGGTGTAACTTCTGCCTGCTGCAAAAACACCCCCTTCCCTTCTTCACATTGGGGGGTAATTTGGGTTCCATTCTTGATGGATAGCTTGTTCCAGTACATCAAGATTTTGTACTGGAGAATCTCTGCGACCGATATAATTTCCCATGGTCCCTAGTATTGTCATCTACCTTCAGTTGTTGGCAATATATAGCCTGCTTTTTATATTGCTTTGTCTGCTATATTTAAATGTTTTTCGTTTTCATGCAAGTTTTATATCTGTATCTGTGATCCTCTAGTTATTTTACTGTCGTTTGTTGACAGGTGTTTATAATCTGACTTTATGTATTACGGCTTTATTTCTTATTCAAGTCCTCGTCACGACATGGCTGCAATAATTGCCGATGTGACGTTAAATTCTAAGTCACTCACGCACTCTGCGACCGATAATGGCCGAAACATGCCCCATCGGATTGAGTTCTAGACTTCTGTTGGGACATGGTAGAGTTCTTTCCTCCTTTGGGGATAAAACACTCGCCAACAGCACGTGGACACTGTGGGTTAGCATTACCGTTCATGGAGACTGTTGCGTACATTAGCTACAATCAATCTATGGACGGGTCGAATAATCATACAAGGAATACAATTATCATATCAATGCAAATGGCAATATAGGGGCTAAATATACCATAGGTTTCTCCAACATATTTTACTCCATCATCATAGTTTGTTGATCGTACGTATATCGCCTCACTGAACTGAATTGGAAAAATACCGGATGTTGCAGAGGGCGCTCTTGATCTCAGCCGACCTGCACACTCAGGCAAATATAACCGACTGCAGTCACCTGACTGTCGATTCTTATGATGTGTGTGACCAAATAAGTGGTTTCTGGCTCATTCGGAACATGAACCAACATCGTGGGTACATCAGCCCATGTTCCCGTCGAGACCAGTGACCAACTTATATTATTTGGTTAGATGTTAATATTGAAGACTCTGTCCAGAAGGTTAAGGTTAGGTAGAACTACTAGTAGTTACATCATCAGCAATCCGTCTCACACATTTATATCAATAATCATAACAGATCCTCGTTGTCAAAAGCAACCCGTGCGTTCGTAATGTCTTTGTGTATGTTAACTTTACAGCCAACCTGACGTCGGAGCTGAATGTAGATTGTGGTTCTCCAACTCCTCCAGAAGGCACAGACGTTGACTACAGTTCAACAGGTCTTTACGCCATTGCCAACTACAGATGCAAGAAGGGTTTCCTTAACACCCATCCGGGTCAACAGATGAAGAGCTTTTGTCAGAAAGATGGGCATTGGACCATCAACATGAAATGTCCCAACAGTAAGGATGCAACCTAGTTCAAAATCGGGGCGGTGGGGTAGCCTAGTGGTTAAAGCTTTGGCTCGTCACGCCGAGGACCCGGGTTCGATTCCCCACATGGGCACAATGTGTTAAGCCAATTTCTGGTGTCCCCCGCCGTGATATTGCTGGAATATTGCTAAAAGCGGCGTAAAACTCAGCCTAGTTCAAAATCAAAATTAAAACTTCTTGAACTTCTGTTGAAATTATAAGTATCAACTATTTCCTTTGATATGTCAATTTTACCCTGCAGGTCTCGTAAAAAATAATCAAACTTGCAAATTGAACCTGTTACTATAAATATTAAGATTTGTGAGACCAATGCTGCTGCTACAACAACAAAAACAACAACTACTACATTGTAAAATATTGTATCTTAGGCCCACATTACGGAATAAATATGTCTGTCTGTCTGTCTGACTGACTACAACTATTACTATCACTACTATTACTACTACACCTACTCCTATTAACACTACTCATATCTACTATTACCGCTACTACAACCGATACTACAACCACTACTAGTACGACTACTGCGACTACAACTTCTACTACCACTACTACTACTACTACTACTACTACTACTACTACTACTACTACTACTACTACTACTAACACTATCACTACTACTACTACTACTACTACTACTACTACAAAAACTACTACTACTACTACTACGAGGACGACGACGACTACTGCTGCTACAACTGGAAAATAAGAAGAAGACTAGGATACCTCTGAAAGACCTGTGATGATTGGCATGAGCCTATTTACTGATTTGTTTTCCTTGACAGTATCTGTTTGCTGGACGGCACCTGCTGGGGTAGCGTTTTACACCGGAACTCGATCAACAACCATCACGGGCAAGGCTTGTCAGCGATGGGATGCTCAGACGCCACACACCCACGTCAATAATGTAAATATGAAGTTTTCCATCCCAGGATTTGACACTCCCCAAACTGTCACAGGATCTGCTAACTACTGCCGAGACCCATCTTATGCCGGTTTTTTGTGGTGTTACACCACGAACCGAAATTCACGCTGGGAAAAGTGTGATGTCCCAAAGTGTAACCCCTAGAATTGACTGGGTTACAATATGAAACTGACCCAGTACCTTCTGTCCTCGTCCACTCTTCCACCAAACAGTGTTATCTTTACTACTGTTAGATCTTTCTATGTTGTGGGTTGGGAGGAATTCGTGATTTTGCAACATTAAAATCGGTTAGCGTGAAACAAACTATGGTTATTCTGTTCTTTTTGAAGATTTTTTGCATTTGGTTCCATACACTAAAGATGGTGGGTGTCAACCTGATTGTAGGTTCACATGAGTGAGTGAGTTTAGTTTTACACCAGCTTAATGGCGGCTGTCTGTAGATAATCGATTCTGTACCAATCAATCCAGTGATCAACAGCATGAACATCGATGAGATACGTTGACTATATGTGTCAACCACATAAGCGAACCTGATTACCCGATTCCGTTAGTCGCCTCTTCCTTCAAGCATGGGTTACTCAGGACCAATTCCAACCCAGATCTTCATGGGTCTGTAAGTTCAGGCTTTGGACAAGAAGACTAAGTCTAAATCCCTGTGTCTTGAAAAGTATCAAGTTTTAGCCACATCTCAATAACTGCTGACTGACTGAATGAGTATGGTTTTATGCCGTTTTTAAGCAATATTCCAGCAATATCACGGCGGGGGACACCAGAAATGGGCTTCACAAATTGTACCCATGTGGGGAATCGAACCCGGGCCTTCGGCGTGACGAGTAAAATTTTTAACCACTAGGCTACCCCATCGCCCCTTATCTGCTGACGCAGGTTAGTTTATGTATATGTGTATAACTGTCTACTTTGTATAACTTTAATAAATAGTTCTCTCACATACTCTCTTACTGGATTAAAAAGAAAAAGAAGGCTCGCATGATGGTGCACAGTTTGACACACGCTTCATGTCAAGGAACACATACAAGAAATAATGGTATTGACCAATTATCTATTTTAAGTACAATGTGTGCGTTACGGTTAATAAATGTGCCATGACAAAAGGTTCAAGAGTCCCCTTTGAACCAGCAAAATAGAACACAGACAAGCCTACACTATTCAGTAATATATTGAGCAAACGATGAGTAAGCTACAATCAATGACAATACAGATATCTAGTACAATAGAATTGAGTCACAAATCTAACATATTAGGTCCCAAATACAAAATCTTAACTCACCAGAGCCTTGACATTTACAGTGAGAGCAGATATACGGATTGAAGACAAGACATGCACGGCTGGTCTTGACGATGGCAGGCAAACGTGTATCAGCTTGGTGACGGCAGGCAGATGTGTATAACTCCAGTTATGAGATAAAGTCTGTGTGTGAGTGGCATAAGGCAACAACCACCCCCTATAGCTTACACAGTTCTAGGGCATTCTAGTAAAGCTAGGCTACACCTTTTCCACTAAGAACATTCACTAAAACAGGAAATCAAAACGAATTAAAGCCATCCAAATGAGGCAACTCTGAAATGCTATCAAAAAACCAGTAGTTCAGACTCGATTATTTACAGACAGAGAATATTGCAGAGTGCGGTGTAAAAACTAAAATCACTCACTCACTCACCCTCGCAGCAGGGTACATATTCTAATACAATCACCAGTCTATGCATCTTCATCTTTGCATGTCATTCTTAACATATTTGTTGTACTTGTGTCTGTTGACGACTATAGTTTGGCATGAAATGCATGTGGACCCGTTTTTTTGTAAATATCTCTTCATCCAATAACCGAATCGATCTCAAACTGTGCAAGTGGATGTTTTGTCAGACAACTTAATCACATTGTAAATCACCAATTTTATGCATTTGTATTAAAGAATCTGTCTATGTAACTGTCAACAAAATAAACAGCAGAACGCAGAATGCTTGCAGAGGGAGGGAGCCAATGACCTGTAATAGCGGCTGATATCCTTGCCCTTATGCCGGAACATTCACATTTTCACAGTATTCTCTCTGAGAACGGAGCTTAGATTAATCACATGTTTGCGTGCATTGAACCCATTTCCACAATTACTGTTCTTGATGGTTGTTTACCCCAAATAACAAGAAAACACCCAGTGCAAGTCAAAAGGCGAATTGCACCGGACATCAGTACTTTTGTAACTGATATTACTTTGTGGGGGTGTGGTCCTGTGCTTAGAGCTCAGGCCACGAATCAGTTGACGTTAAACATCACCGAGCACGGAGAGTCCTTGGATGGGTGACCGTGATTAGCAGCCTCTTTGAATTTTCTAGGACTTTAGTCATGCCCCACAACGAAGCACATGTGATACATGTGGTCTCACCTTAGGCAAGTGACTTTGTTCAGAATTGCCTTTGTTCATCCGGCAGAAATTGGGAACCAGGTGGAAAAAGTCATATGACTATAACCTTCTAGCGCCTAACAAGCAGCTTGGGTTATCCGGGGTAGTAATAATCAGATTCTGATTACAGCGTTCAGTGAGCAACTAGTCAGATTGATACTAGGAGCTATATAAATGAATAATTATTATTACTAGTATATGTCAAATCTGGAAATGCCGACAAGGTGTTCAACACAAATCCTTTCGAAAGTCCAACCCGGGTTCCAGAATACCCCAACCTGACTAAACTAGCCTTGTGTTTAAATACACGACCTTGCTAATTTCGTTATACTACTAGTAGAGCTACAAAAATACGTTCTGCAATTAGTCTCAATGAAGTCTGAAATAGTTACGAAAATAAATGTTACTGATGTGATGGAAATGAAGGGAATTGATTTTGAAATTTAAAAATTCCAGCTTACTATGTGAAAGCCAATAATATGGTATATTTATCACGAACCATTTTTTGTGCTGTTTGTTAGTTTCCTGTTGCATTTGTACGAATGGGGACTACTGAAGATTCATACTGTCAAAGTAATATATATTGTCTATTTTGTGACTACCCTAGATGTAGCGAATTCCATCTTGCTATGTGAACGCCAATATATTTTGTGTAACCATCACGAAGCATTATTCTCAAACTTTCTGTCACAAGCATACCATCATGCCTACATCAGTAGTTAATGTGATGTGACCACACAGTGATTTAGATTTAGATCAGCTCAACACTCACCACCTTTAGCTCAATTAAAGGAACCGATACAGAAACACCCCCTCCCCTCCTCCTTTGGCTAAATTCCAGGATCGTAAACTGCTGGGCATACGAGAGTGAAATTGAATGTCATTGTCTTGAAATAAGGATATCCCTCCACCCTTGCCGGTAAGGGGTAGCAACATGAATTTAGAAACGGGATTCGAATCCCGAATCTGATTTTTTTTTCACATTCGGGATTCGAATCCCCAATCTGAATTTTGTAAACTATTTGGCATTTTTTGCAGATTCAACACTCGGCATTCGGTATCTGAATTGTTTGTTCACATTCGGCATTCAAATCCCGAATCTGATTCTTTTTCATATTCGGTATTTTTGCAGATTCGACACTCGGCATTCGGTATTTAAACACTTATATTCCAGCCGCCTTCTAATGTACTAGGTGCTTCTTGTATACCTGGCTAGATAACTAAAAACATAAACAACCAAACTACAGCTTTCTATATTTGAACCTCAAATCTGAGTTTTTTAACATTCAAGTTTCGGGATATTACCGAATCTGAATTTTTTTCATATTTGGTATTTTTGCAGATTCGACATTCGGCATTCGGTATTTAAACTCTTATATTTCATCCCCAATCGAATGTACTGGGTGCTCGTTGTATACCTGGGTAACTTAAACGCACATAAACAACCGAACCACAGTTTTCGATATTTGAACCTCAAATCTGAGTTTTTTAACATTCGGGTTTCGGGGCTTGAATCCCGAATCTGAATTTTCTTTTCATATTTGGGATTCGAATCCCAAATCTGAATATTTTTCAAATTCGGGATTCGAGATCTAATCTGAATTACCCCAATATTTTAGATTTGTGATTCAAATGCATTGTACTAGATATATGTATAGTCATTCATTGCAGCTTGCATATTGTTTGTTCAATATATCATTTAATACTTTAGACTTGTCTATGTTCTATTTTACTGGTTCAAAGGGGACCCATTTAAAATAGTTCTGGGTCTTTATGTAGTAAATAATTACGGCAAAAATGTATACAATTTGTAAAACAGGTCTGGACAAAGCAATGGTTGACAAGCTGGAACGCAAACCCGGAAACAATACTAACAACGTATGAAGGTTGTGTGTTGGGTGACTAACGGCTGCCACATACTCACCACTGCTATTATCCGTGCCCCTATCAGTCTCATTCCATGAAGCCAGAAATTGGTCCAAGGATGTCTTTCAGTTGTCGTAGTTGACCAGAACCAGTCAGTCATTGGAGTTGTTGGCATATCCACCAGCAAACAGCAAGGTTACACACAAAGTTGTCGACAGAGCATTTAACTGCACTTACTGTTTGTTACCAAGTCAGTGATGGCTTGGGCGTGAAGCCCAGTCTATAATGTGACTGTCAATCAAAATACTGAGTGAATCTCATCACGGAGGATTACATTTGGTGTACCTTTTCTTTATAGGCAGACCTGGCTATCAATCACAAAACGTTGACATGGAATATGTATAAGATTTGCTTGACGGCACCCCTGAAAGATGGAGGGAACAAGAAACGAGTGACGCGTTTATGGGGCAGGTAAATGGCAGTTTCTCACATGTCATCCGAGTCAGTGTGAGATTGGGCGTGAAGCCCCGTTGTATATCTATAACGTGACCGCCAATCACCATACTCTGTTCATGTAATAGTATTCATGGAGTGAATCTCATCAGAGAGGATGTGTGGTTCAGTTGGTGCACCTTATCTTTATAGGCAGATTTGACTGGCAACCGCAAAACGCTGACATGGAACATGAACATGATTTGCTTGACGGCACATATTGAGATACCGATGAGTCGTCGTACATCAGTACTTGTACATGAGTGAAGTAGTATATTAGAACCGCCCTCTCTTGTATCCTCCTCATGGCGCACGGACTTGCTCACAGCTTCCTACCACTTGTATATCCATTGTGTAATAGTTATTTATCACTTATATTGTCATTGGCTAACATTGCAACACAATTAGATCAGTTAGAGGTCGGTGTGATTTAAGTGCAACGTTTCAGTACAGATTTTTGTACAGTCACTGTACCATTCCAGCTCGACAACGCACATGAATCTGCATCAA